ACCTGGTGATAATAAAAAGCCACCCATCTCCCAGCTGGCTTTGTTACAGTTTCAACTGCACCACAAACCATGCTTATTTTCTCTCCACTACACACACACTGCACACATATCCTTCTACCCCTATAGGAGCACCTTTGCCAGAACTTACAAGGGGGATTGAAATTTCATATTTAGGAGTTTCAAATTGAAGGCTCAGTACAGTAGTAACCACTCTGTGTTTTCCTTTAGGCCTTGCTAAATAATTGCCTCCTTATACCGAGCTAACCATCTCTGGGTATCAGGTCTGCGACCCTTGCGTACAAGAGCTGTAAACTCAGGCTGACTTTGTGGGTATTGGAAATTTTCCAATACTACAGTTCTACTTTAGACTTGGATTCATGATTCCTGTTCAGGTTGGATTCATTTCCAAATTAGAAGAGCAGCGAAATCTCTAAATCAGAACAGATCAGCATGCTTAAATCACTTCTTAAATGAGTTATGGAAAATGAAACTTGGTGAATATGATTTGCTTTATGAAAACAGAAATTAAAATCTTATTTCCAGGAGTAGATGTGATGGGAGCTACCCGGGTCAACTTGCTTTTGAAAGGACAGCAAGTAAACTTTGTGTTTTATTTTGAAAAGCAATTGAACTTTGGTTAAATGGAGACCAAAGAAGAGTGTTGAATGTGTTGAATTTGCTTAGACAAAAATCCCCCTTCTTAAAAAATTGTACCAACCCATTTTTTGGACCTAGTAAATACAGAGGTCCTGGGGCATAATTAATATTAAGAACTGCATAGCCCTCTAGTGTGCTCATTTTAACACCTGTGGAATACAATAAATGTATAGTATACATTATAGTATATAAATGTACAGAATACTATAAATGTAAAGAAATTCAGTTTGTTCCCAAGGATCTGTTATGATTAAAATGCATATATCAAAATGATCCACCTTAGGACAGATTTTGGTTATTTCCTATCTATTGACTTTTGTTTTAAAAAATAAATAAAAAGAAAGAAAACCTGGCCAGACACAATGGCACTTGCCTACAATTCCAGCACCTAAAGAGGATGAGGTAGGAGGAGCACAAGCTCGAGTCCCCCATGGACCACTTGGTAAGACTCTGTTTCAAAATAAAGAGTAATAAAAGTGGGAGTGGGGATGGGGAGGTAGCTCAGTGAAACAGTGCCCCTGAATTTGACTCTTCAATACTGAGGGAAAATCTGGATCATCTTTTTCCTAGTTATCACTTCTTTATTTCTCATAAGTGCTTGGGTAAGCTTGGTTCCACATAATTGAATCAGATAGTGGAAGCAATTGAAGTCATTTTAGATAATGTTTGCATCTAAAGAAACCATACTGAAACCTGCAGGAACACATCATGTTGGTCATCTAGGCTTTGCACAAATTGAACTTGAATGAAATTCTCAAACTTTCAAGTTTTAAAGGACAGAGTTGAGGATTCCAAGTGCTTCCTATCTCCAGGGGGACCATAGAAATGAGGCTACAATAAACATCTCTTAATAGCATTAGGGGCACCCTCATCCTGACCCATGAATCTCTTCCCTGTTCTCTCTTCTCTGGCAGATAACAAGATGAGGCATGTACAATACGGGCTTCCTCTCCTCTTGGCAGATCCTGAATGAAGCAAAGGGGAGCAGTTACAAAACAGAAAATTGACTATGATGGAACACTCTTCGGTGCTACATCTGATATGATTAACAATTTATTTTGGCAACACCCAGGATGGATTTCATATGGTTTTCTTGAATTCAACAGGATTACTGCCAGCACAATCAGGAACATGAAGAAATAGTCTAGGCAAAGGAAGGGGGAAAATGCCATCTTGCAAAGTGTTTCGTAGCGTTGACTCTGTGATCTGGAAACCAGCCATTGCTCAATCTCTCTGTTTCCAACTGCCCTTCCACCATTGTCTCACTAGGCTTGGGTTGATGGATGGGTTTATAATGAGCAGGGTAGATTGCCTCAAGGAAAAAGCGTTGTAAGAAGCGGGAGGAAACGTGGCAGCCAAATATTTTGCAATATACAAGCATTCTTGAAGTATGGATGTTCTAATCCAGTTGCAGCTTTAAGAGGCACAGTTGCTACATATTGTGGACTTCACAGCTAACGTCTCGGGTAGTAGAGATTTACTTTCAAGATGAAAGACAGCTTGATCTCTTCAAGAGGAATCCTTCTTTGCCAAATTTGATGTTTCCATCTGTGCCAAGGAACTTCTACTGGCTTCCTTCTCCTTATCTGTCCTTAGGAGGAGTTTGAAAGGAGCACCTGAGCATGCATTCCTGAACTCCTGCTTCTGCTTCTCTTTCCTTTGGGAATGGGTGCACCTGCAGGGAGCATAGGTCATCATTAATCTCATAAGTGGAAGAAACCTTCAACGTAGACCTGACTTTAAGTGCATATGTCAAACCCACTGGATAGACATATAAGGCATGGTCTTAGATATTAGAAAGTACTAGGAAGCTATTTTTAGTTGTTAGTTATGTACCTCTTTTTCTCTATTTTCTATTTTCTTTCTTTCTTCCTTTTTTTTTTTGAGATGGGATCTTGCTTTATTATCCGGGCTGATCTCAAACTTCTAGCTGAAGTGATCCTTCTCCTCAGCCTTCCAAGTTGCTGGACTAAAGGTATGTGCCACTGTGCCTAGCAGTCATGTTCTTATATTAACATTATCAGTAATAAAGCTAATGTTCATTCTCTGCTCAAACTATTATTTTATTCCTAAATTAGTTCAGAACATAAATAAGAAAAAAAGGTGTTACCCCCCCCCACACACACACAAGTCCCAACATTTAGCCTGTGGTAGGTCTTCACATATGGGAATATGTTTTTGCATTGTTTTCTGTTTATAGTTTGACATTTCCTTCACTTTACACTGAATGAAAGGAAATATGTGAGCATTCAGCATTGGATTTATATAGACAAATGGCCCCTGGAGTCAGTAATACTGTGGTGTAGAAAATAACTGGCTTTTATGACTACCTGCATTCCTTAGGTAGTCTTCATTCACACAAAGGTACAAAACTACTCCACATTTCTCTTTACATATTCTCAGGGTACAGATTCTCAGGACGGTACTGGGATGTGTAAAAGCTTCCATATTTGTATAACAGATAGATGGATTGAAATTGGCAGTAAGACTCTGTTTTGATCCTTAATTGAGAGGTCAGCCAAGAAGGGCATGGCAGCTATTAAATTAAATATTAAAGTGGGACAGGTAGGGAAGGAAGCCAAGAAGGAAAGAATGGCTCCCACCCACCTTGATTTGCAGCTAGGAAGTTTGTAAATCAGTATTTAAAACAAGAAAACATTTGAGATTTTCTAATATCAATGAGGTACCAGTAAATAATGATATTTGGCCTTGACCATAACATATAATCGATAAAGGCCTTAAAATCAATTTTTCCAAAGCTTTTCATCCACATCACATTTGGGCCTTGCTTTGCAAAGTAGATGCTACAAGACCCAATAGCCACTTGCTCAAACTTCTCCAGCTGTAGTGTGAAAATTGGATTCAACTCTATGTTTTCTGATTCCAAGTACATTTATCTTTTTATTCTATTACTGCCACTTCCAAACCTATATACTTTAGAATGCACTGAAACTTTGATATATTTAAAAGAAGTAGGTAAAACAGCTGGGCTTGGCATAATTGAGTTTTCTGATTGAACCTATCTTGGACAACACAGTGGATTTCGCTTCAGTGATTTAAAAAAGTTACCGATATTCCTTTGGCTCTATAATGCATAATGATAAAGAAAAATGACACAAATGTATATCACAGTAATGGTGATACAGTGTTATTCAAAAGATACTCTGAGTGGCTTCATAGTTCTTTGCCTTAAAATTTGGAAATTATACAGCTCATAAACGTTACTATGTTGTGTGTGAATAACTGAAGCCTGATATCATTTAAGTTCATTTCATTGATGTTTAAAGAGGAAGAGGATATATAACTCTGATAAATGAAATCCTAGTACTCTTGAGTGCAGAAGATTCATTTGCTGAAGAGAAGAATTTTCTAATTTTTAATGTAAGAACGAGGTTTAGGGAGAGGCTGGATGGGAAGAAACCTGGAAAACAACTTGGAATAAAGGAAAAGGAGGCACAGATTTATATACCAGAATGTCAACAGGAACCATACCTGATTAACCCCATACCTGTCCTTTGTTGCTCCTGGCCCTCTTCCCTCATCCTCAAAATGCCCTGGACCCTCCTCTGATCTCTCCTTATGCCCATCATTTTTTCTAAACCATCCACGCTCTCTTTGCTCTCCACCAATCATGCATCCTGAAAGACTAAGTCTACCTTATTCTCTAACGTCAGGCACCATCTCCACAGGGGTGCTCCACAGGGAAAGGATTTTCTCATAATAAGGAGTAATAGCTCTAGGAATGCACAAAATGATCATGCCCTTTCACTAGCAAATTTTTTCTTCAGGTTCACCATTATTCCATGAGGTAGGCAAAGAAGACAGTGCCCTAATTTTATGAACAAGGAAACTGAAGCTCCAGATTTAAGCTAATAAATGGCAGATCCAGATCCATCTACCACATCTTTAGGATCTTTCCTTCGTAACAGCAATTCATAAGCCTCTGTACCAACAGCTCTTAAATGTCCAGGGGAATAAGTCTATATTGATGATAAAGTAAGTTCTCTTCATTATATAGCAATTTTTTAAAAACTCATAAAATTATATTAAGTCTATTGACGCTAACACTGCAGTCAAATGTAATAAAGTAACTACATAAATGCTTTGCTTAAAAGGACAGGCCCCTAATTAAGAGATTGTTAAAAAGGATGGAGCATATGAATACATCTATTACACAGGATTTACTAGAACTTATTGTACTCACAGGCGTAAAATGAGACCAGCTGTTGCCTGGAATGTGGAAAGACTAATGAGTAGAAACTGATATAGTGATTCTTGTTTAAAAAATAAAATAAAATAAAAACAAAGGTGACTGCATATTACTTTAGTCTCTCCCTACCTTGTGTAGCATTCAGTCAATAGTTCATAGCATATTCTGGTTCCCAGGTTCTGCATTTGTGGGCAAGCTGTCCTTGAATATCCATTTCATGCTTGAATATGAAGAGCAAAATGCTCTGCAGTTTTCACCTTTTTCAACTCTATAAATGATGTCTCTGAGGAAAGTCTTTTCTATTGATGGCCATAAATTCAAGTGACTTGATATCTAAAAGCCCACTGCTTTTCCTATATTCTTCAGAGGTAGGGGTTATGACCCACAGAGCATTCTTCTTCTGTTCATTCTGCTTTTTTGGTGCCTCCAATTTTGACTTGATAGTTGACTAATTGCCAATGGTCATGGGCTCCTGAGCATCTGCTTCATTAGATGAGCTTTTGATAACAGTGGGCCAGGAAGTATTCTGGTGAGATTTCATATCTTATCTTCCTATGACAGTAGGATGTTGGATCAAAAAGATACAGAACATGTTTATGGTGGGGCTGAGTTTCAGAGTCATAAAGGTTGAGTATTACAATCCATGCAGCAAAACAAGGCTCCAATTTAAGACACAATTAGCAGACAGACTAATGAGGAGCAGGAAAGGGAAGAGAGTGGAGGTGGAAGGACAGAAGGGTATAAGTATCCTTGGTTAATATCTGGTTAGTCCCTGTCCTCTATCATTCCTGTTCCTTTCCCCACACATCCAAGAGAGGGAGGAAGAGAAGATGCACATAATCAAGGCACAATATATGCATGAAAGTAAATGTCATCATAAAACCCATTAATTTCTATAGTTCATTTATTTAATTTCCCCAGGGAGTCACCTCAGCACCCAGGAATCGTGTGTACTCTATGGTCCTCTCCAATTTGCTCTCTGGGGAAAGAGCATTTTCCCTCCAGTTACCTCCTAATCCTGTATGGGTGTGGAAAGTGGACTTGCTGACTAGTGTCATGCTTGGGTTCAACACAGGAAAGAGAATGCCATTACAAGTATTGCAATCAGAAAGGGGAAATTAAGGGCATTCCAAATTTTTGGAAGGATAAAGGAGAAATCAAGGGATGGCTGCCAGACTTTTGGTTTCAAGGTCAATCATTGCAGCTGCAGCTGGAGGTCAGAACACTTTCTGACTGGTGACCAGAAAATGGAAGGCGTGTCTGGCTGGTGCTATTTGATTTTGTTGACACTTGTATGTCCACAGGACAGCTGTAGGAAAAGTCTCACCTCTCTTCTGCTTTTCAAATATCATGGAAGTGCACTTCACTAGCAGAATTTAACACTTACCAGATCCTGACTGCCTTGCAGACCCTTGGAGGGAATATAAATGAGGGAAGGAATAGATTCCTAACGACACCAGGTAGTATCTGGCATGGGGCTTTGGTTACTGTTTAGTGGCCTTCACCTTACTTGCCACAGGACAGGATAAGATTTGTCTTAGTTACTTTTCTCATTATTGAGACAAAATACCTGACACTCAAAGGTAAAGAAGGAAAGGTTTATTTTAGCTTAGAGTTTGTAAAGGTTTCAGTCCATAGTCAGCTGACTCCATGGCAAGGTGGCATGGCAGAGGAGCACTACAGAGGAGATAAAGTTCATGTCATAGCAGGCAGAAGGCAGCAAGCAGCAAGAATCCAGCTTTTCCCTTTTATTCTATTCAGGCTACCAGCCTTTCAAGTGGTGTCAACTAGAACTAGTCTAGTTCTAATCAGTAGAAAAATTTAGTACCACACACCCTTATTTTCAAGATTATATGCCATAGATCCCGCTAGCTCTGAAAAGCCCCACTTATTAGTGCATGAGGCTTTAGGAGGCTGTCTAGATATAAGACATGACAAAGTTCTTTTGTAAATGGTGGCCCCAGCTGGAATCCACTGCCCCAAATTCCAGTAAAGCTGATATCTCTTGAGAAAAGACCCCAAATTTTAAAAATCTCTCCAAGTCCTAATTGGGCTCTTATATGGCTGCCTATCACATAGATTGACTGGTTCTCTGAAATGTTCAATACTATGCAGGGAAAAAAAAGACTGTTAATATCAGACTAGGGTTTGAGTTTTATCTCCACTTCTCTCTAGCAGTTCATTCAATATTTCTGAGCTTCAATTTCTTATTCAAACTGTGAAGAAAGTGGCCATAATACCATTATTAGAATTCAGGATCATGATGGGCTGCAAACTGTAAAGCTTGTGGTGGAGATAGGGGGTGCTGTTGATAAGTATCAACTGCATCCCTGACCAGGAGTGGCTGTCAGCCTAAGGGAGTCACCTCATCCATGGACATGCCCCTTGTTTAGGGCAGTCTGTGCTTAATGATTGTGGACAAGGTGAGGGATACAAAAATCCCATTCCCATTGACTTAGTCAGGGCAACTTTAAAGGGTCCCCCAGCTCTAGAGCTCCCCATAGGATTAGATGAAGATTCTAGTGGTGCCTCATCACAGCTAAGTGCCCCCCCATCTCATGTCCTACTTGCATTCCTTACCTTTAACAGATGTTAATCCTGAAGGAACCTCCCCTACCCGCCCCCCCGCAATCTTTTCTACACACAGATCTCTGTGAGCCTGTTTCTTGGAAAACTCAAAGATCAACACTGGTTTAGCAAAGCAAAAAAATTATTAAAGGATGATAAGTAGCTCATACAATCTTCCAGGATGGCCAGAAAACCAGACAGGAAAATGTGCTCTAAGAAAGAAAGTCCCAGATCACTCCATAAGATGGCTTCCTGTGAAATTTGTAGAGGAAAGGTGGAACTATAAAATGAGGCAATTTTGCAAATGTAAGGAGAATCAAAGATGCTAGATCCACCAGAAAAGAATGGCAAATGCCCCAGGAAGCATCAATGTGATGCTTCAGAATGTATGGTAATGGGTCTTTGCAAGTAGTATAATTGGATTTTATTAGAGCTCTTTGTAGAGTTACCATCTTAACTCACAGTCAATTTCCCAGGTTAGCAGAAGAAATGTTTTTGGTTGGTCGGTCTTGTACTGATGTTGGAAGCACTTTTCAACCTGAAAGTCCAGACCAAGAACAAGTGCACAGTAAATAATCAACAAAAAAATCCTAAATACTCAGTTCTCCTAGAGTTCAGACCTAGCCCTTTTCTTTCTGTAAAAGTGCAATTCTTAGTTGGCCTCTCTCAATTGCATGACTTTCTATAATGATGAATCCAATGTATATTTATAGAACTACTCATAACCTTGCCACTGAGTTCCACATTTCTATATCCAAACACCTCCACTTCTGATACCTAAATAGAACCAAAATAGAATTTTTGACCGTGCCCCTGCACCTATCTCCCCTGCCACTTTTTCATTTCAGTAAACCACACTGCTGTTAGTCTTCTGGAACACCATACACTCTACCTGTGGTTTATTTGCTATACCCAAAAAGATGTTCTGAGTCCATTCACTTTTCTCTATCTGCATTACCACGTGCTGAGTCACCTGCCAGTACGACCTCACACTTGTCCCACTACAGCAGCTTCCTGCATGAACTCCCAGCTTCCACCTTCCCATTTAATCTGTTCTTTGCTGAGAGGACCAGGTACCCCATCTTTTATCCTAAGTGAACTTAGAATAATGCTGAAATTTCCTAACATTCTATGATGATGGTTCATAAATCCAGTGTACCATTTCTGACTTGGATGCCCTCCCCTTCTTCCACAGAGTACTCTCCCGGCAGATTATAGTACTCTAATCACATCCAGCCCTTTAGGCATAGGGCCTTTAATTGTATGGCCTTCTTCATGGTCAGACGGTACTGCCTCCAGATTCTGTATGGCTCGCTTCTTATTCCAACCAAGCCTCAACCCAAACGATGTTAGTGGCACAATGCAGCTCTGTACATCCATATTTTATGTGGGCCTTTTGGTGATAGCCACCAGCATCATGTGAGCATTTAAATTTAACTTTAAATGATTCAAATTAAATTGAATTAAAATTTCAGATCCTTAGAAGCACTGATCACATTTAAAGTGCTGGCGAGCCACCTGTGCCTAATGGTTACTACAGTGAACGGTGCAGACACAGATCCATCATTGTGGAAAGTTCTATTTGGTGGTGTTGGTCAAGAGCTGAATGCTGCATATCCTATTTGTCTTTTCTCTTCCATACTTTATTCCCAGCTGTTCTCTTTTTTACATTTAAAACTTTATGGCACCTCCAGTATCTGCTGTCCCCTGGAGATTCAGAGAAGCAAGCTATCCAGGGTAGCACAGCAATGCATACAGATGCTCCTGGACTTAGGATAGGGTTACACTGGATAATCATATCATAAGTTAAAATATCATTAAGTAAAAAATGAATTTATACAACTAACTTACCAAACATCACACTTTAGCTATGCAGTTCACCATAAAGTCTTGGTAAGTTTGCCCTGGTGATCATCCGGCTGACAGGGAGCTGGGTGAGTGCCACTGCCCAGGGTTGTCAGGAAGTATCACTCAGCATATTGCTAGACCAGGACAAGATCAAAATCCAAAAATTGAAGAAGTTTGTTTGTTGAATATGTATTGCTTTTGCACCATCCTAAAGTAAAAGATCTTAAACTACCATGAGTTAGGCATCATCTGTCCTATATTTGCATAATTCTCAGGACCCTATCCTGGTCCAGACCAAATAACTAAAATAGAATGGAGAAGCCAGGAATGGGACCACTGGAGCCCCAAACTCCGTCTTCTTGAGACCCAGCCAGTCCTGTCCCCAAGCCCTAGAGGGAAGGATTGCCTTGCCATGCTTGTGGACGTGAGAAGGAATTCCCCTGGATCTCAGAGAATCCAGAGCATCAGTGAGGTCTGTGGCAAGCCTGAGTCAGCAAAGAAGACCTTGAGCCTGTCCAAACCAGGAGAAGACATGCCACAGTGCCCCAGCTGCATACTTCAGTAGTGAACTCCTGCATACAGTTGAGCTAAGAGCAGCCCAACCACCCCAGAAATGCCAGCTGGCTCACACAGGCCTCCCAAGAAGCCTCCCTCTCCTCAATAACCCAAAGTCCTTGAGCCTTCACAGGCCCGGAACCCATCTTGGAGAGGAACAGGAAGAATGGTGTAAACTGGAAAAGCTGACTCACCCCAAGGAGACAACTTACTGGAACAGCCTGAGTTTACTAGGTTGGACTAAATTTCAGTCCTTCCAGCACTTCCCATTAGTCACAGTGTGGCTGTTAGGGGACATTTAAGGACCATGGATCAGTTATAAAAAGTTAAGAAAGTACATTTTCTTTGCACATCAGAACCCAGTGTGACTAATCCCGATACTGCATTCTATATGCCCTGAATTGTACAGAGCCCTTGACAAAGCAAAATGTGGACCAAAGACATCTTTGTCGTGTGATGAGTGAGTTCTTCTAAGACCTCCTCAACTAAGGACAAGAAGAAGTTGTTAAGTTCTGGAGTCATGTTCCTTTGTCACTGTCCTCTGAATCCCTTCCTGAATTGAATCCCTATGACACGAAGCCCAGTAGCCCCTGGTTTTCCAGTCCACCCTCTGATGCACACTGCTTCTGACAACCCTGACAAATGCATTGCAACACCCGACATCTGTGTGGTGCCTTTCACCAATGGGGATAGGGTTTTCTTCTCCCAAATAGAAGAGAAAAATTACATTGTCTGCATGTGTTGGAGGTACAGATGTAAACAACCTTAGTCACACACACAAACACACACACACACACACACACACACTCACAGAAAGAGAGAGAGAGAGGAGATGTGTAGGAAGAATAGCTTAAAGAATACAGTCAGCAGAAAGAGCTATTGTTTAAGATCAAGTTTGCTGGCTCAGAAAAACTAGAGAAGTCAACTATTTCAGATCAGTTACTTTCCCAGCTGAAATTCCACTGGCTTTGTCTCCAAGTCTAACTCATTAGATTATAAAGACTAAATTAATTGGATAGTAGTTTTAATTGTGTGTGTGTGTGTGTGTGTGTGTGAGTGAGTGTGTGTGTGAGAGACAGAGTATTCCACTTTGTACAGGGTTAAATAGCATTCCCCCTTTCTCATTTACCAGGAACCTCAGAGTATGATCTTATTTGCAAACAGGGTTGCTATAATTTGAACATGGTTTGTCCCCTCTGAAACTCATATTGAAATTTGATTGCTATTTTGGTTATGGTGAAAGGTGAGGCATTTAGAGGGTGATTAGGTTGTTGAGAGAGATTAATGCTTTTCTCCAGTGAGTGAGTTCTCTCATGAGACTGGATCAGTTACCATGAGAGCAGTTGTAATAAAGTGAGTCTTTCCCTTGTGTTTCATCTCTTCTGTGGGTGCTCACTTACCTCTCTCAATTTCTGTGAATATTATGAAGCCCTCACCAAAGTTACCATCATGTTCTTAGACTTTCTTAACTCAGAAATGTGAACCAAATAAATTTGCTTTTATAAATTTCCCAGTCTCAGCTATTTTATTATAGCAACAGACAAGGTTCTTTACAGATGCAGTTAGTCAAAGCAATATGGATTAGTACTCCTTAAATATAGTATCCTTATAAGAACAGAACACACACACACACACACACACACACACACACACACACCCTGCATGTGATAACAGAGGTAGAGAATGGAATGATACCCCTGCAAACCAAGAAATATCAATAACTGCTCAAAGCTTAGGAAGAGGTAAGGAATATATCTCAGCTCCTTTACCCATGGCTGAGACAAAATGCCTGACACTCAAAGTTAAAGGAGGAAAGGTTTATTTGGGTTATAGTTTGTAGAAGTTTCAGTTTATAGTTGGCTGGCTCTAAGGCAGGGTGGCATGGCAGAGGGGCATCACAGAAAAGAAACTGTTCATGGCAGGAAGAAGGCAGAAGGTAGCAAGCAGTAAGTGACAATGGACAACCCTCTTTCTGTCCCTTATATCTTATCCAGGTTACCCACCCTAAGATGGGTAGCACTCACAGCCAGGATGGAGCAGTCTTAACCCTAGCAAAATGCTATGAATCAATCCCACAATCACATCCTTGATCCCAGTACTACACACCCTAAATCCAGCCACCTCCAAAAATCCCCACCTATGACTGCATGAGGCTTTGAGGAGATATACAGATACAAACCATAACAGAAAGACTTCCTTAGGGTCTGTGAGAGCATAATTTCAGACTTCTGAGTATCAAAAATGTGAGACAATATATTTTGTTGTTTGGAGGCAGTTTGTGGAACTGTGTTATAGCAGTTCTAGGGATCTAATACATGCTCAAAATACATTGGAATGATATAATATTTAAATACTCTGAGATTAAGTGAAAACAACAGTAATCACACCCTCTAGCATTTAAAGGGCCCAAGTATGAAACATGGAATAACTGTTACTAAAAATCCCCAGCCTGTCCCTACCCACCATTCTCTAGCCACCCTAAGCCCTGTGCAATTTTTAACCCAAGGACCTCTGTTATCCAAGAATCACTGTTTTCTCTCCTTAGTTCTTCTTTCACCTCTCCTGTCAAAGAAGAGCACAACACTCAAAACACAGTCTTTGACTGAGTTCAAACTACCCTATCCTCCTGCCCCTACACAAATGTAATTCTATTTCCCTGTCAGCTCTTCTCAGGCTAACTTGATGCCAAGCTTCTTCTTTTCTTTAGAGATTGAGACTGGGCTATGAGCTCATCAGGGAAGCGAGGAGGAAACTGAACACTACCTGTCACCATCTTCACAGTATGTACACACAACAAAACTTAATGTGTTTTCAGTATTTCTTGAATGAATATAGCTACCACATCTTTTCAGTGATTTATTACTTACCCATAGACCATCACAGTTTGTTTTGCTCTATCTGTAATTCCAGGAAGGGAAGCATTTGGAGAAAGACAGGGAACTAGGATTAAGTATTTAAGAGGCATTTTTTCCTCTTCCTCTCCTCTCAGGTTATGATGCTATCTGAAATAATACTAATTATTAGCAGTGATAAGCAAATCTGTCAAGTACCACAATGTTTTCTGAAGAAAAAACTGCATCACAGATACCTTGCAATTAAGGAAATACTTAACTGAACTAAATTGAAAAATATGAAGTAATAGAACAGTGTCCCTCCTGAGTGGTTAAAAAAGGAAGATAAAAATGTGGACATGAAAAGGGAATTCCTAATGTTTCTTTTTAATAACATGATTCATACTATGTTTTTAAAAGATGTTTTTAACTGTCTGCGCCTTTTTGTATTTTTTAAAGTTTTTGAAAGGTTGTGAAGACTCAGGGCTAGGTTTTGGGGAGACATAGTAATTACAGACATAAGAATAGCTGCACAATTTCACATGGAAAATGTCTCAACTGTGGTCATCGTGACGTGGGTTTGGTGATGTGCCACCTCATTCCACAAGACAAAATTAAGAGAAAATAATTTAGTCATACAGATGTACAAATGAATTCCCAAGAAAACATAAAACACATGGTCTAGGGGATAACTTTGAAGATGTCACATTTATCATATGCCAAATATTGCTTATAGCATGCTGTGTTACTGCCTTCACTTGAAAGGAAAGACATGGAATTAAGTTTTTTCAGTCAGTGCGTTTCTGATTTTACATTTTTCCAATTTTTCAGCTTCCTTGATTACTCATGTGGAAAATACTCTAAAGAGAGATTTGCGAGTTGTTTACTATGATGAACAAGCTTTCATATACCTCCATAATCCTTGCCTCCTAGAATTCACACCCTTGTTAATTCCCTCCACTTGAGTGAGTTAGGACTTGTGATTTGCCTTAACCAATAGAATATGGAAAAATTGTCAGAATATCACTCCCCTGACTCCACGGTGTTATGTAAGACTGGATCTTGGTAGAAGATTGACTTTAAAGTCTTGCTCTCACTAATGGTTTTGAGGAATCGAACTTCCCTGAGCTCTACAGTTGCAAAGAAACAAATCATTACACACTAAAGGAGCTTGAAAGCACACCTTCCCCTAGCTGGACATTATAGGTTAAGAACTAAGCCTTGGGTGACATTTTCCTTGCAGCCTTGAAGGACCAATCTAAGCTTAGGGGATGCATGACTCATAAGAACAGTGAGATAGTAAATGTGTATTGTCTTCAATCATTAGATTTATGGTAATTTGTTATTTAGCAATAATAAAAACTGGAACACACATACCTAAGCTAACTTCTGTTTCTGACCCAGAATTCTTGCACTGGGTTTTTTGTTTAAAAGTATGAAAACTATAAGTCTTTGGTGTTGTTCATGAACATGTCTTTTATGACCACATACATGAGGATATTCCTTTCCTTGTGGTAGATCTCACCTGTGCCACAGCATCAAGGAAGAGCTATTCATAGCAACAGTGCTTTCTGTTCTGCCCATAGATTAAGATAGCTTGTGATTTTTAGCAGGAAGTGATTCTCAAACTCCTCCTTAAAATAGAGCTTGGTCTAAAACCTTTGCTCAAAAATCCAATCTGTTTGCTGATAGGACTATAAATTGACTGAAACTTCCTGGAGGGCATTGTGGCAGTGCATACCTAAACT